TGAAAGTTTGGATTTAAACTTGCTTGACAAAAAAAAATAAAAGCAAAGAAGGTTCAATACAGCTTGTGTGTATAAATGTGTATAGCATTATGATTATCTCTGAACCCATTCTCTTTTCTACTCAGAGAAATAATTCAGGTTTTAAAATGAAGGACTAATTGCAGGGAAGTGACATAAATGAGCAAACAAATTACCCTTCTGACCAAAAAAGACAGCTCTTTGACTGCATGGTAATTGTTTTTTGTCTAAAGCTAATTATTGTTGGCTTGTGTTATGCCTAATAATTAACTTATTCATAGAACATTAATCCACATTTCATTATGTTGTACTTTGATGCTATTTAGGGTTTGGTATTCCCATCTGCTTTAACTGATATTGCACAATATCTTCAAATGTTGCTTAGATCTGAACTGAAGATAGTCATTTGTTATATTTTAATATTTTCTTTGTGCTGTTTATAGACAATAATCCTTAGAGAATATATTTGTTCTAAGTAGTGTATGTTTGAGGCGTATGAATATCGATTTATGAAGGACAGTGTGGTGGGCTAGTAACCATTCCTTTGTTTTGTCCATGATCAACTGACTCCTGAATGGAAATGACTGCACACAGAAGTGGTGACCATATAAATGGTGACTAGAAAAGATAGTGTACATTTTTTGAAATAATTCTGAAGGTGAAGCTAGGAGAACCATTTCTCCTTCCCCAATGTCATGTAAGCGATGTGAATTTTTAAAAAATTGTGTCAGAAGCTATTTGAGAAACGGCAAATCGCTTCCGGTGTGAGAGAATTGGCCGTCTGCAGAGACATTGCCCGGGGACGCCTGGACATCCTGTGGGAGGCTTCTTTCATGTCCCCACATGGGAAGCTGGGGATGACAGATAGGAGCTTACCCCGTCTCACAGATTTGAACTGCCAACCTTCAGGTCAGCAGTTCAGTTGGCACCACCGCGGCTCCTAGCTATGTTAAAAAACCAATTGTTTAATATCCATTTTAAAAGGCAAGCTTTCAAGTCTTCCAGGACTTCTCATCAGGAAGAACATGATGCAGAAAAGTCCCCGCCTCTGGAAAAAAAATCTTGGTTAAATGCTGAATATATCTGCTCTGGGTCTTAGCAAACACGTAGGGGAAACTGCTGATTTAGATCTTGGGAGACACACTTATTTCCTTGGCCCATGCAGAATTAATTGGCCATACCACAATGAGCTGAATGGATATTGTGCAGGATTTGCAAAAAGGATGTTCTTTTTAAAAAAAGATGTTCCAGGAGATTTGGTTTTTTGACCCAAACCCAACAGCAGTATCAAAGTGAAAACTGGCTCCTGGGAGCTTTTTTGGAGTGATGCAAAGCATCCCAATTCTGTGAGATTACATTGTTCTCACAGTGCACATCCAGCATTGACCACTGTGTCTTGTTACATTTATTTGAGAAGAATCACTAAATATCCGTATCTCACCTTCTCCCGAAAAGCATTTTATAAATTAGAATGAATGCAAGCAGTATATAGTGGATCCCACATGATAAAAATATGAATGATCATGTCACTATCAATACAATTTCATAGGGCATCAGCGGAAGCAGTGGCAAGCCCCATCATCCAGCAAACATACATGTTTCATGCTGTCTCTGGGAAACATGCCAGCTGTGTGCTTCTTTCTTGAAGGCGGTGGCTGCCTGGGAATTCCCCAGAAACATTTTCCAGGTAACCTTTACAGGAAGAAACAGTCACTGTAAAACTAGCTCCAAATCTCACCCCAGAAAAATGGCCCAGCAAGATTTTCAGCAGAACCACACCCCTGTCCAATTTCAAGAAAGGCTTGTCCGTCCACTAAGGACACCATAAATTGGCATTAAAACATTGAACTGAATCAAGAGATTTGTTTCACCCAGAAACCTCTGAAGCTGGGAAGTGCCTACACATTCTGATACCTTATTCAAAAATGGAAAGTAGGACAGCAGCTGATCATTATCCAACAGAAGCCATGTGGGTGCCTCTTTTAGGCGTGTTTGAAATCTGTCTTTATGTAAGGAGTCATTGACTACTCTCTTCACTCACTTACTATTTTATAAGCAGAAGCACAAGTTACTTCCACTAGGAATCTATTGACTATAACATCCAAGAATAGCCATGGATCTCAGCATATTTTATTGTCTTTCAACATTTTTGCCATAGGTTGCATAGTAGTGCAGGTGTAGGTTTGTTCTCTTGGGCAAGACCACTTGAAACAGCTCTACTGGACAGCTCCGTGCAGGTACAGTGGTGGCAGAAAAGAATAATTTCTTTGCCGCCTGTCCTGTTATGGCGTGAAACTTCAAATACATTCCAGATATCTTCAGTTAAACTCACTCTTCCACCAGTGTCAGTCTGGTCTCCAACTCATAGATTTTATCACTGCCAGTTCCCTGGAAATCAAAGGATAGCAAGAATGGATGCTTAGGAGAACTCACAGTCACCAACCTGACAATTTCCTTATTCCAGAGATCAGTCTGGGCTTCAACAAAATCTCCTGCAAGGTTATAGAAAGAAGAGCTGTCAGGAAACCATTCTGAACCATCGACCTACTAAAGTAGATCAATTAAATCATTCCCTTGACTAAACTCAACTAAGTACTGATCTGTCCAAGACTGAGGAACTACAGAAAGTGCCTCCACATGAAGATCACTATTCAAATTGGAAGATAGGTTAAGGCAAAGAGATACTATTACGCTTTCCCCTCCCATGATAATACAACTCTGTACCTCTTGCCCTTACAACTCTATTGGCTTCTCCCGGATTTCCTTTAACTCCCCCTTCTATTAAAAACATATCTTTCTTTATTGGGCTCTTAAATACAATCAGTCTATCAGTAACAACATACTGAATGACAGGTATTGAAAGCAAGTACCAGGCATTCCTCTCTGTCTGACAAAGGGACAGGCCGTATATCTGGTGCATCACCAATATGCTCCTGCCAAAGAGGGATCCATTTCGATGATACCTTCTTCAGTAGAGACTCTGCCAACATCAGACATGCCCTGCACAAGTCCAGCTTTTATCACCAGGACAAGTAAGGAAGCTGAGCTGTATAGTCAGCAGTATCTGTTGAATCAGTACCTGAATTCTGAAAAGAGAAGTGAGTCCCACTGGTGAAGCAGAAGTCCAAGGCAGGAACAGACAGCAACCTCTTCCTGCTTGTTATCTTCCTTCTCTTCTCAAAGGCATGCTACCCCTCTACTCTGCCTTGGTTAGACCACACCTGGAATACTGCGTCCAATTCTGGGCACCACAATCGAAGGGAGATGTTGACAAGCTGGAATGTGTCCAGAGGAGGGCAACTCAAATTATCAAGGGTCTGGAGAACAAGCCCTATGAGGAGAAGCTTAAGGAGCTGGGCATGTTTAGCCTGAAGAAGAGAAGGCTGAGAGGACATGATAGCCATGTATAAGTATGTGAGAGGAAGTCACAGGGAGGAAGGAGCAAGCTTGTTTTCTGCTTCCCTGGAGACTAGGACGCAGAACAATGGCTTCAAACTACAGGAAATTCCACCTGAACATTAGGAAGAACTTCTTGACTGTGTGAGCTGTTCAGCAGTGGAACTCTCTGCCCAGGCGTGTGATGGAGGCTCCTTCTTTGGAGTCTTTTAAACAGAGGCTGGATGGCCATCTGTCGGGGGTGCTTTGAATGCAATATTCCTGCTTCTAGGCGGGGGGTTGGACTGGATGGCCCATGAGGTCTCTTCAAATTCTACGATTCTATGATTCTGTGATTCTATGATTCTAAGTGCTGCATAGGTGTGATACACTGCTGTTTTGCAGAATATTTCCACATGATTACTGAGACAGCCAGACTATGGAGTGGAACATAATGTGATTTTTCTGGATGGAAAAGGAATGAGAAAATTTTCTGCTGGCCTAGACATAATGAAGATCTGATTTTAGCATACTTAGCATATGGGCTTGAATTCAATAACCAAAATGAATCCGAGTTATTTTTATGTGCAGTGTAAATTTCAGAATTCATTTCCCCAGTAGCTGAACCGAAATATTTGATTAGGGGAGAAATCAATAACCTGCAGCTGGTATGGTTCAAATGTTATATTTGAATATAATAATTTTTATTTGGAAAGTGTTTGTGTTGGAATAAATAAATATATGTGAAGACATGGCAATTCTGTAGCAAATCATTGTCTTTGGTTTGTTAGCATGCAGTTTAGCGTGCCTCAAGAGTTGTACTCGTAAGCATGTGTGTTTCCTAGAGATGTTATGTTGAGGGCTATATTAACTACAACTTTGATTTTGAATGTTACTATGCATTTTGGTTCTCTATTTATAGTGTTCATTTTATTCCTAAGTAATTTCTGACACACATACATGAAAGTGTTCCACATCACATCACTACCGGTAGACTGGTCAGGTACTGGGTGGCCTTGGTTCAGTCATTCATATTCATCCTCACAGGAAAATAAACATGATGCCTGGAAAAATGATAGAAATGTTTTCAAACAAAATTGACATTGCTAAACCAACTATTGCACAAGATGGGATGGGGAACTCAGGGATGGGGAAACTTGGACTCTTCAGATAGCTAACAACAAGAAATTCTGGGAAATGGAGTATAAAGCATCTGGAGGACCAAAGTTTTCCTGTATCTGTACTAGATCTTACTTTTCCATGCAATCTGTGGTGAATTTTCTGAGCCTTAAGGGGGTGTGCGTTGACCACAACATTACAGATGTTGCTCATGTCTATATCAGGTGTGGGCAAACTTCAGCCCTTCAGGCGTTTTGGGTGTCAACTCCCACAATTCCTCACAGCCTACCAAAACACCTGGGGGGCCAAAGTTTGCCCATGCTTTCTATAATGTCACTTATGACACTAAGCATAAAATGCAGAATATTCCTAGAGAGTGCATATGCTTCATTGTTGTAATTATAAAACCCAGTGCTTTATTTATTTGTTTGTTTGTTTGTTTGTTGTTGTTGTGTGAGTAAATCATTTATTTGTGACTTTTCCCTCAGGGAAGAAGATGAGTATTCAGAGCTGCGATCGGAACTTAGTCACAGCCAGCATGAGGCCAATGAAGACTCGCACAGCATGGATCAAGATCAAACTTCGGTTTCTGTCCCAGAGAACCAGTCAACTATGGTCACAGCTGACATGGGTGAGCAGTGTTCTTAATGTGTCTGGTGGAAGAATATTTCACAGCTTTTGAAAGACTGATGAAAATCTTTACGGGAAAGATTTTTTTTTTTAAATGATGGCATCGCTGATTAGTTGGCTTGGAACTGTGGGAAATCTCTCATCCAAAAGCAAGAAAAGTTAATATCCTAGTCCCTTGGAGATGGAGTAAATGCAATTTATTATTGCAGCAATAAATGTGGAATAGTGTATCTTGATTACCTTTGATCCAACCAGGTTTTAAAAAGTACATTTTATTTTGTGTTACTCAGTCTGGGATATATTCTGACCCCAGTGAGAATTTAATCTACTGGGGGATATAAAAATGTCCCATGTCAACAGGAACATTTGTAGATGCAGTATCAAGAATATTCAGAAAATGAAACATGCAGTGTACAGAAAGTACATTTCCATATTATTAAAATGTGTTTTATTCAGCTGTAGGTATTGGTTTTTAAAAAAAATATTATTATTTAAAACTTCCTTTGCTAACTGGCTCAGAGTCAATCTACACAGTAGAATTAGTGCAGCTTGACATCTCTTTAATAATAATAATAATAAACCTTTATTTATACCCCGCTACCATCTCCCACAGGACTCGGTGCAGCTTACAAGAGGCTGATCCCAAATACATCAGAAACAAAAAACACAACAACAAACAATACAACAATAAATAACTCATAGCAAAGTAAAACAATAACAAAAATATCACAACACATTTAAAAACCTGTGGCAGGGCCAAATGTAATGATTAAAAATTTAAAAAATGCTGGGCATGTCCAGGTGAAATAGGATGGATATTTTAGGGATAAGTGGGTATGCAGACAATTCTAACTCTCTTGTAAAGTGCATTTGGGACATATTGCTTGGGATTCCTTAATCTGGGAAGGCACACTGGAAGATCCATGTTTTCAAGCTCCTTCTAAAGACTGCAAATGTTGGGGCATGCCTGATGTCCTTGGGGAGGGAGTTCCAGAGTTGTGGGGCCACCACTGAGAAGGCCCTGTCCTTCGTTCCCACCAATCGCGCTTGCGATGCAAGTGGGATCGTGAGCAGGGCCTCTCCAGATGAACGAAGAGATCGTGTGGGTTCGTATACGGAAATGCGGTCACGCAGGTAGGTGGGTCCCAAACCGTTTAGGGCTTTGTAGGTAGGCACCTGCACCTTGAATTGGGCCTGGAAAATGAATGGCAACCAATGGAGCTCCTTAAACAGGAGGGTTGACTTCTCCCTGTAAGGAGCACCAGTTAACAACCTGGCCGCCGCCTGTTGAACCAACTGAAATTTCCGGGCCGTTTTCAAGGGAGGGCAGCCCCACTTAGAGTGTATTACAGTAGTTCAATCTGGAGGTGACTAAGGCATGGACCACCCTGGCCACATCCGCCTTCACGAGGTACGGTCGCAGTTGGCGCATGAGTCTCAATTGTGCAAAGGCCCTCCCAGCCACCGCCGACGCCTGGGCTTCAAGTGTAAGTGATGAGTCCAGGAGGACACCCAAATGGCGGACCTGTGACTTCAGGAGGAGTGTAACCCCGTCCAGCACAGGTTGCCACCCTATACCTCGATCTGGTTTACGATCGACCAGGAGGACCTCTGTCTTGTCAGGATTAATCTTCAGCTTGTTCCTCCTCATCCAGCCAGCCACAGCGGCCAGGCACTCGTCCAGCACCCAAGAGGCTTCCTTGGAGTTCGGTGGAAAAGAGTAGTAGAGTTGCGTGTCATCTGCGTAGAGATGGCATCCAACTCCAAAACTCCAGATGACCTCTCCCAGCGGTTTCATGTAGATGTTAAAAAGCATGGGAGACTGAATGGAACCTTCCCTGGCTCAATGCTATGGAATTATTGGAATTGTAGTTTAGAGACATCGGTACTTTTTGGTATAGAAGGCTAAAGACCGTGTAAAATCACAACTCTCATTATTCCATACTATTGAGTCATAGTGTTCTCAAACTGCATTCATTCTACAGTGTAGATCAGTGTTTCTCAGCCTGGGGGTGGGGAACCCGGGGGGGGGGGGGTTGCAAGGGGGTTTCATATATTTCTGATGGGCATAGGAACCCCATTGGCAGAGAAGGCTGAAGATCTCTCCATTTGTCCTTCTCTTCTTTTTGGGAAATAGAAGGTGAATCCTCTTGCCAAAAGCCCTCCTTCACTGTGACTGGCCAGCTTCTCAGCTGGCCTCTCAGCCAAGAGGAGGGCTGTTTCTGAGACTCCAAGTGGGGAGGGGAGAGCAGGAATGCTTGGTGCATGGCAGCAAGGTGCATATGTGCAGGTGAGGTGGAGCAAGTGAGGCTGCAGGGAGGCTTGTGCCAGCAAGTCCCTTCAAGACAGTGGGGTTCTGTGTGGGAAGTTTGGCCCCATTCTATCGTTGGCGGGGTTCAGAATGTTCGTAGGTGAACTATAAATCCCAGCAACTACAACTCCCAAATGTCAAGGCCTATTTTGCTCAAACTCCACCAGTGTTCATTTGGGCATAGTGAGTATTTGTGCCAGATTTGGTCCAGATCCATCATTGTTTGAGTCCACAGTGCTCTCTGGATGTAGGTGAACTACAGCTCCAAAACTCAAGGTCAATACCCACCAAAACTTTGCAGTAGGTTCTGTTGGCCGTGGGAGTTCTTTGTGCCAAGTTTGGTTAAATTCCATTATTAGTGGAGTTCAGAATGCTCTTTGATTGTAGGTTAACTATAACTCCCAGCAACCACAACTCCCAAATGACAAAATCAACCCCCTCCCCAATCTCACCAATATTCAAATTTTGCCGTATCAGGTATTCGTGCCAATACATCCTGCATATCGGTTATTTACATTACGATTCATAACAGTAGCACAGAGTTAGGATGTAGCAATAAAAATAATTTTATAATTGGGGGTCACCACAACATGAGGAACTCTATTAAGGGGTCGCGGCATTAGGAAGGTTAAGAAACACTGGTGTAGATGCACCCTCAGTTACCTGAAGAATTCCAAACCCACTCCCTTTGGGGGGGGGGGGCTCTTATGCCAGCTGACCTCAATCAGCAGATCTCTCTGCTGGTTAACCTGCGAGATCAGCCAGTGGATTTGTATAAAAGCTAATCTGTATAAAAAACAATAAGACCGGTAAGTGAGTAGCTGAAACTCTGTGAAATTATTTAAAATTCTTCAGTTGACAATATTGTAAAATGCCTTTCTTGTAGGTGGGAGGGGAGAAATATACTTTCAAAAATCAATTCCTACCCCTCTTGCCAATCAAGTTCCATATTAATTCTACAACAGAATGCAATTCTGGGGTACTCTAATGCCCACTCTGTATGGATAAGGGATCAAAAGAGTGAGGTGCTTAGAGTGGAACCTACCTAATCTAAAATTGGTAATGCATCTGGATTCTTTAAAATTTATTCATTTGCTTTATTATTTTGGGAGCCTGTATTCTGGGTAGATGGAGTCTAATTTGCAAGAGGTAATAAGAAATCTCATTATCAGCAGGGACCAATTTATAAACAAATAGTGGAAAGTGCTGAGATAAGCCATTCAATTATTCTGATATATCTGTTTGATTTTTTCCCTTGTTGTTCAACATGATATTTTTTTTAAGTAGACCTGGCAGTTTTATATTCTCTTATCTTATACACTCCGTTATTATTTCTTGATTGTTCCTAGTTTCTTTTATGCAGCACTATGACTGTATAATCCATGTATTGCCAGTGCCACAATTCAAATAACAAGAAGGAATAAAAACCAATGTTCATCCAAGACTTGTTGCTTCCAGAAAACGGCGTAATTTCTGTACAGATGGCAGGTTTCAAAGTAACATTTGGCTGAGAGCTGGGAAATGTTAAGGACATTTGTTTGTGTCAGAGTGACTCTGATAATGATGGCTTTTGTCAAACTCCAGCAGGTTTGGTGATTCCAAAGCCTAGGCTTGAAGCCAACACGTTTCGTCATAATAACCTGCTCTGAGTCTTGGGGCAGAGTGATTTTGGATGCTGGAACTCATTTACTAGATTCTGAACTGTTAGTGATATCCAGAGACATGTTTCCAGTTCCCTCAATAATGTGACTCTTATATATTAGTTTACAGCAAAAGCTTTTTACTGAAGGAGGATCTCTTTCCCATTAGGTAGATGGTATATAATTCTGAACAGCGAGCTGTATGTTTGGCCACTAACACAGAAATCATTTGAAAAGTGGAGGCTAGTGAAAACGGAAGTCACCCTTTTTTGGAAGAAGCCTTTTGGTACCATATATACTTGAGTATAAGCCAAGTTTTTCAGCCCTTTTTTAAGGCTGAAAAAGCCCACCTCAGCTTATACTCAAGTCAAAGTTATTTATTATTTACTCTGATATTATTATTATTATTATTATTATTATTATTACATTTATTATTTTACTCTATTATTATTACATATATTATTTTACTCTATTATTTTTATTACATTTATTATTTTACTCTCTTTGTTATTATTAGAAGTATACATAAGCACATTTACATTGAAGAAGGTCAGAATAATAGTTTAATCTGAGTTGGACAGTCTTATCTTAAATTACAGATTTATGTACATATTCAAAAACATTTAACCTACTGATGCTTCAATTAATAATTTTATTGGTATCTCTTTTTATTTTGAAATTTACCAGTAGCTGCTGCGTTTCCCACCCTCGGTTTATACTCGAGTCAATACGTTTTCCCAGTTTTTTGTGGTAAAATTAGGTGTCTCGACTTATATACGGGTTGGCTTATACTCGAGTATATACGGTATTTATGCAAGACTTCACTAACGTGGTGGTTTCATTTCAAACATGGATTGAAATGTTTGCATAAATATGTTAAATGGCTCTTCTTTTTTGTGGTGCCAGACCGTATCCCCATTCTTTCCATAATATATCTGCCTCTGATACAAAAGTTAAAGAAGCAACACCCAAGAACACGTCAGGTTCTCTGACTGAGGTATACTTGTATTTCAAAATAGTGCTCCTGTTGTGAAATTTGCAAAAACTCTT